TTGCAGAAGCTGGAAGACCTTACTTGCATTTAAACACGCTGTCTTTTAACTAGAACAGTATCAGTGGGGTTAGATTCCCAACTCTTGTCATCATAAGCATCGTTCTTATATATGGTGACAGGCATACACCACTGAGCTTACCAACCTCGTATTTGGTGAGAGCCCACACACTCTTCGCGGTCATGAGCCAGTGCATGGTTAGGCAGATAACGGAGTAGGCAGTCATCGCCATGTAGATAACTCTGCGGCCGAATCTGCTGTTGACAGCGACTGGGATGGACGCAATGCCACCGGCCAGCAAGATGAAGCCCATCCAGATGCGCATGGTGCGGTAGATGGCGTTGGTGACGGGGGAGTAGAGACCAGAGCGATCGGCCTGCGAGTCGGTGCACCCCTTGTCCTTATCGCTGAACTCCGCAGCTTCCTTCGTCTGCTCCCACGTGTCCACCCCGTCAATGATGGATGTGGTCGTCAGTGAGAAGGGCGTCTCCCAGGACGGGTCCATCGCTCCCACGCGGCTCCTCGCCGACGACAGCACCATCTATGTTTTATCTGTGCGAAATATGAACCCTTTTGACAGTGGGGCCTGGTCGGTGTAGTTGATCAGAAATTAATGGCTTTGGAACGGTTCGGTAAATAAGTGTTCGATAAACCGTATAGCCCTGTAACGTATAATTAAGAGTTCATGTAGAATTGTTGAAGTATAAATCCAAACTTGTGTCTTGAACTGCATAAACTTTAATATCTGCTCACGTCACATCTCCTTGCACACAGGAACAAAGCAACGGGCACACGCGCGCTTAATCCCATCACCACAAACAGACCTTCATGACTCCTACATCTCTGTCCTATATATTACCCCCAAAACCCCTACATCCTGAGCGCACATGTACCCGTTCTCCCAGACCGCGTCCTACTCCCATTTCACAATGACCCTAGAAACGCCCGACCTAAAACACCTTTACCATTCTCCCTATAACATCAATCTAGCCGCACAAGATGCGCGACGCTCTGTCTACATAGACTACCACTAAAACAACCCCTAGCCTATAGCTCCGCTGACTAATTCATGCAACATCTGTAAATCATATGTTATAGCCTCGTTACTGCGTGTCTCTACTCCTAGGTTTAGTGAGATATACTTGCCTTTGCTTGTGGGTCCCGTGTCTTCTGCTTGTCTTTGATGGTAGGTTTGATGAGTTATGCTTGCTTTTACTTGTAAGTGCTGTGCTATGTGTCTTTGCTGGTAAGTTTGCTATCTTGTGCTTGTCTTTGATAACGAGCTTGTTTCTTTCTTCTTCTACTGCTTGGTTGGGCTGCTGTGTTTGGGCGTTCTGGTAGTTTTGGTGTTTTCTGCTTGTATTTATTTACCTTGTTCTTGCACTTGTTCTTGTTCCTTCACCTGTGAGTTTGGCACCTTCTGCTTGTTTCTACTGGGAATATTTATATCCTTTGCTTGTTATTCGGCAATGGATTTTTTCGTCTTCTGAGAAACCCGGTTCTTCCTGCTTGTCTTTACTGAGAAGTTTCTTGCCTTTTGCTTGTCTTTTTTTGCTAATGCGTTTGCTACGTTCTTTTCCTACAGCGCCATCTATGTTTTATCCGTGCGAAATATGAACCCTTTTGACAGTGGGGCCTGGTCGGTGTAGTTGATCAGAAATTAATGGCTTTGGAACGGTTCGGTAAATAAGTGTTCGATAAACCGTATAGCCTTGTTACTGCGTGCCTCTACTCCTAGGTTTAGTGAGATATACTTGCCATTGCTTGTGGGTCCCGTGTCTTCTGCTTGGCTTTGATGGTAGGTTTGATGAGTTATGCTTGCTTTTACTTGTAAGTGCGGTGCTATGTGTCTTTGCTGGTATGTTTGCTATCTTGTGCTTGTCTTTGATAGTGAGCTTGTTTCTTTCTTCTTCTACTGCTTGGTTGGGCTGCTGTGTTTGTGCGTTTTGGTTATTTTTGGTGTTTTCTGCTTGTATTTACTTACCTTGTTCTTGCTTTCACCTGTGAGTCTGGCACCTGCTTGTTTCTACTGTGAATATTTATATTCTTTGCCTGTTATTCGGCAATGGATTTTTTCATCTTCTGAGAAACCCGGTTCTTTCTGCTTGTCTTTACTGAGAAGTTTCTTGCCTTTTGCTTGACATTTTTTTGCTAATGCGTTTGCTACGTTCTTTTCCTAGCAAGATGTCTTTTGCTGATACTGCTGATACTGATGAAATGAGAACAATTTCTGCGCGTTTACGCTGGTCTGGCAGCATCTGGTTTCAAAGGTCCTCCGGTAGAGCTCTATACACACATGTGCGCGTACTGTGAATGGTTACACGAGCGATGACAATTCGGTGACTACTGCGACTATTTGCTCGCGACCAGCGACGTCTCTATGGCAATACACACGAAAACACAGGCGAAGCAGCAAAATGCACCACTCTCCGACAACACGCACTTTTATTCGAAAAGCTCGTTTAATAATGTGTGCCGTCGTTAGTGTCTATTTGCTGATGCGATTGCTGCGTGCTGTTTCTATGCTGGCCCTGTCACGACAGGAATGCATTAATGTCTCCCATGATCCCATCAGCGGCTGCCTATGTAGAATATCACTTATATGGGCTGCATACAGTCAGGCCACTCTTAAAATATTGATAGCTTACAGTCACCGTGCGCGACCGTTGACAAGTGAAGAGCAAAAATACGTTGTATGTTCGTTGAACTTTGTGTATAGCCATGACACATATGAGCGACACATCGTGATTTAGTTAATTTAACAGTTTGAAATCCGAACTATTCGCCGATTGAGTGACGCAACAGAAATGACGTCATGCGGTCGAGAAACAGATGGTCACACCTATGTCCTGCATGAGGTGCACATCAGTGACATGACTTCTCTGCTGCCTCCGATATTTACACACGATGGCGGGTGGACAATGCTGGCGACCCACCAGTATGAATTTGCCGCGGTAATTGTGTGTACCTTGTGTTCACGTGTCACCACTAATGTTGACCTCTGTATTGTCCGCACCGTCTCTATTCTATGAGAACTGTCATCGCCGCTGCTCGGCAGGCGCGCGTGCACACACGGTTAATTGTCGATTTACGGGGCGGTGGATGGTGCGTGATGATTCAATTAGCAGGTTAGCGCCGCCTACATTGACGCCCCGATTGGGAGCCGACTCGGGGTAATGGTCGTGGTGATCTCCGGTGCTCGTCCATCTATTCCGCAACGCATCTATTCTCGGATTGTATCGAGCAGCTCGTGTTGTATAATTCACGCTGGCCGCGTGTAGGGCTAACATCCCATTAACTGTTAATTGACCTCGCCGCTAGTGTTCCTGCGAACCTACATATAGGTGTTGAACAACAGTAGAGGGCGTCCATAGGCTGCATGCCTGAATAAGCATCGAACAGAAATAAATTAAAAATACGCACACTGTTACTGCGCTTGCAAAACATACACTTTATTCATGTTAAATAACTACAGATTCGTGCTCTATGCTCCGCTCGAAACTTTTGCCAGCTCTATGATGCGAATTTCTACACAGTAGTCGGATCCCGTTTCATACACAAAAATGGCCGACCGGCGACCTGGCTACGCCACTAGCTGGAATGGCACAATTACTCAACACGAATAATTTTACTTCTAATGCTTTCGAGACGTCCCCGAGGCATCTACCTTGCGTGCACCTTTATTTTATTACCTTTATTGCACTCTAGTGCCAAATTTCTGCGAAAAAAAATGCCAAAAAATGCCTTTTCTAGAGACGAAATAGTGCAACGGTAAACAATTGCGGCAGCTTACTGTTGTACACCGTCTATAGTACAAAGTAGGATGCGTACTGATCGCTCAAGGGATGTATGATAGCGCCATCTATAGTTCAGAAACTCAACTGTGGTCCCGGTCTAGTTCCAAACTCGCCAGTCTGATATTATAGTCTTGATCACTGATTTTTTTAAATGAAAATAGTGTAATTTTGTTCTAAATACATATTATTATATACACTTGTACATGCTGCTGCCCTTCCAATAACGCTAACCCTCCCCTTAATGCTAACCCTAATCCTACGCTAACCCTAACCTAATCCTACGCTAACCCTTTCCTAACACTAACCCTAGCCCTAACCCCTTCCTTAACCCTTCCCATAACCCTAACCCCAACACTAACCATGACCCTAACCCTAGCTCTAATCCTAAACCTAACCCTAACCCTAAGCTTGACCCTAACCCTAACCCTGACCCTTACCCTTCCCCTAACCCTAACCCTATCCCTAACCCTTCCCCTTCCCCTACCCCTACCCCTACCTCTACCACTACCCCTAACCATAACCCTAACCCTATCTCTGAACCTAGCCCTTCCCCTATTAAACCCTATCCCTACCACTAACCCTAACGCTAACGCTAACCATATGCCTAACCCTAACCCTTCCCCTACCACTACCCCTAACACTAACCCTAACCCTAACATACATCTGTGATGTGTCCGTCGTAGCTCTGCCTTTACATGTACATGTATGCATATATACATAGTATTACATCTGAAGCATGACCAATGTTTATGGTCGGTCTTGTGTGATAACAGAGCTCTGTCATTATTGATTGTGGGATGGGGAGGAGGGGGCTGTCTGTGTGACACATGGGGAGCGGAGGAGGGGGCTGTCTGTGTGACACATGGGGAGGGGAGGAGGGGGCTGTCTGTGTGACACATGGGAAGGGGAGGAGGGGGCTGTCTGTGTGACACATGGGGAGCGGAGGGGGCTGCGGTGCATGGGAGAGGGCTGCTGTGTACACATGGGTGAGCGGAGAGAGGGCTGTCTTGTTGTGACAATGGCGAGGGGAGGGAGGGCGCTGTCTGTGTGACAATGGAAGGGGAGGAGGGGGTGTCTGTGTGAACACATGGGGAGGGGAGAGGATGGGGTTGTCTGTGTGGCACATGGGGAGGGGAGGGGGGACTTGTCTGTGTGACACGAGTGATTTTCTTGGTCGGGACGGTTCTGGGAGGGAGGGGGGCCTGCTGTGTGCACACATGGGAGGGGGAGGAGGGGGCTGTCTGCTTGTGACACATTGGGAGGGAGGAGGGGCTGTCTGTGTGACACATGGGGAGGGGAGGAGGGGGCTGTAGTGGCACATGAGCGGGGGTTTGTGGACACATGGGGAGGAGAGAAGGGGGCTATCTGTGTGACACATGGGAGGGAGGAGGGGCGCTGCTGTGTGACAATGGGAAGAGAGAGAGGCTGTCTGTGCTGACCACATGGGAGGGAAGGGGAGGGCTGTCTGTGGACTCATGGATAGGGGGTAGGGGGCCTGTCTGCTGTGACACATGGGGCGAGGGAGGAGGGGCTGTCCTGTGGACATCGGGGGGAGCGGAGGGGGGCTGTCCTGGTGTGACCAACGGCTCGGTTATCTGTTGTGCAATTTTGCATCAGCTGAAATTATTAACTTTCACAGGACCAGCAGCTGATTAGCGATTATCGTGAAATGTATAAGACTACGCGTAATCTGGTATATTGTGATAACGTGGCGATAATGTCGAATAATTAATACATGGTGATGATAACTCACGTGGAGAGTGTTGTGTGTGACTTTGTGTCGTGTTTGACACCGAGAATGGTTTCATGTAGTGATGTCGTGTTAGTACGGCACGAGAAAGGTTTGAGTTTCAGCCGAGTTTTTGCCACTAATACAAATTTTGCGGAAAAAGATCTAAGCATATGAAATATGTTACTTTTAAGAATTGAAATTTTCTTACATGAATTATATTCAGTTCAAGCTAAGCCAGCAAAGGACGCTCTACACTAATAATTGTTAAAGGGACT